TTTATTTATTTATTTATTTATTTATTTATTTATTTATTTATTTATTTTGAGACGGAGTCTCGCTCTGTCGCCCAGGCTGGAGTGCAGTGGCCGGATCTCAGCTCACTGCAAGCTCCGCCTCCCGGGTTCACGCCATTCTCCTGCCTCAGCCTCCCGAGTAGCTGGGACTACAGGCGCCCGCCACCGCGCCCGGCTAGTTTTTTGTATTTTTTAGTAGAGACGGGGTTTCACCATGTTAGCCAGGATGGTCTCGATCTCCTGACCTCGTGATCCGCCCGTCTGGGCCTCCCAAAGTGCAGGGATTACAGGCTTGAGCCACCGCGCCCGGCCGAGTGACCTCCTTTCTCCAGAACTTGCAGCTGCTCTTCCCCACTCACCAGAGGACCTGTGGGTGGCCCCAGGTTGGCCTGTCCCCACCCGGGCACAGCCTCAAGGCCCTGGTGTCAGGCTTAGGCTTGGATCCGGCTCTGTCCCTTAACGGGCCACGTGGCCACAGCAAGCACCAGAGCTGCTCTGAGCCTCAGTTTCCCTGTTTGTGAGGGGGAATGTCTTGCCTTTCTCCGTCTTCTGAGCACTGACGGGAAGGGCTGTGGAGCTAGGACAAACTGGTGTCGACCTTCTTACGGTGCCTGCGTAGGGGGCTCTCCTGGACCGACCTCTGCCTCTGTTCCTACCCATCCACCTGACCTTCCTCTGTTAATGAGAGACGGGGCTGCAACTCTTAACCACACAGGTGTTTTATTTTTGTGATTTTTCCTCAGTCACCGAGTTCCTTTGGGAAGGGCTAGGTCTCGTATTTCTTCTGCATCCCACTTGGTGCCACGCACAAACGGGTCATGCAGCAGATAGCTAGTAAGTGCTAAGTGGTTTCAAAACAACGTTTTGGGGTGGGAAGCAGAGGGAGCCACGGCCCAGTGTGCTTTCTGCTCCCCAGTGGCTTGGAAGCCCAGGAGGCCAGGCTGGGAGCCGTCAGCATGCCCGTCTCTGAGTTTGAGGGGGTGGGACACGTGGTATGTGACTGCGCACACCCCCCACTGAGCCGCAGGGAGGCTGCTGCCACCATCCTGGGGCGAGTCCTGGGGCGAGTCCTGGGGTGAGTGCTGGGCTGCCTAGCTGGGATGTGCTGCCGGCCCCACTGGGGTGTCTACTTTAGGGTGTAGCTGCTGGGGGCCCAGCCGTTGCACGTCCTCTCCACTTCTGAAGAGCCGGGGAGCTGGGCTGGCTGGCCCCACCCACTTGTGCAGCCCCGCCCCTCCAGTGCCCTCCACCCTGCCCTCACTTGTGTGGACCCCCCACTTGGAGCA